CCGGCAGTGTGAATGAGTAAGTACCTATGTGTGTATTTCGGTGATTAGTGGTCTCTAAAGCTTGAATTCGAGGTCAAGTGTTCCGTCACATTGTCACGCAGCACCTGTGGAGGTGGAGTGAATTGTGGGCGAGGAGATTAATCACCTGTGTTGTCATCTTGTCAGTCCAGAGGGACTTGGTGTACACAGACGTACAGTGTGTGTGTGTGTGTGTGGGTACACACGGGGAACAGGATACATAGTTTAGCCAAGGACGGAGAGGATGTCCATGTAATAAATTCTTTTATTTCATTGTGGTAATCATTTTTGATCGTCCGTGGGACGGAGTGATATCATTTCCATGTGTGGTCTTGCAGGTGTGGAATTCCAACACTGAGCGCTCAGGTATGTGTAACGCCAGTGATTCCTGGCAATGATTATTGTGGAGTGTGCCACAGTGTGGCTTAAATTTCTTGTAGTGTTCCCAGGGCCGTGACAAGTGTGATTTATATAAATATATATATTGTGTTTGCAGTATTAATTAACGTAATTTTGGTGAGGTTTGGTGAGTGACGAGGCCGTCTAGAGAGACCGCCCCCGCTCTGTCGAGTAACGTAACTCTCGAGTGTTTATCGGCATGCGTGACCGATAAATCACTCACCCATGTGATTTAAGGAGTGTGAGAGTCTCCTTAGTGTTCCCAATAACGTTTGATAGCTGTAGGCTACATGTGTCATCAGTAATTATATATATATATATATATGTAATCGTAGTGTCACGGTGCCCAGTGTTAATGTGTTATTTACTGTGTGGTGATTGCAATATATTGACCTATGTTCTAGGGGTCCTTTGCAGCAGTAAGTAAGTAAGTGTGTGCAGTATCCTAATATTTGGAAATTGGAGTACTTGCCGTGTGTGTTATTGCAAAGGGGGTTGTTATTTGATGGTGATTGTTGCTAGTGTTGAGCAATCACCGTATGTGATTGCAGTTCAGTAAAACCATTGTGGGGCAGTGTTCTAGAGGGTTCATGTCCTGTATGTTATTTTGCTAGATTCTGCAGTATTGTCATTGCAAGCGGATTGTAACGTAAATCACTGTGATTTGTTAGTGTGATTTGTCATTGTCGTGGGTGAACTCGGCTGTAGACGAGTACTTGGATACAAATATATTCTCCTGGTTATCTGGTAGGACATCGAAGTCCAGTATTCAGTGAGGTGATTGCGAGGCAATTAATATAACGTAACCAAGGGAACGCCCATTGCTTTAAGGGAATTTGTTCTTTGACAATTTGAGTAACGTAGAATGCGTTTGGGTTAATTTACTTTCCTGTAAGCAGCTACGGTAGTCTCGAGGAGCCTAGCCATCAGCCAGATAAGAATTAGAGTATTGTCTGTCGTAATTAACGGTCAGTGGGCCGGGTAATTGACGTGTTTCAGGAAGTCAAAGTAATTAATCTCGATCCTTGTTTGATCGACTCACACGAAGGCTACGTTGTTCCATTAACGTAACGTCGTTATCTGCCCGGAAGTACCGGCATTTGATTGACTCGTGAGAGGAGTAGCGTCATTTTAGAATAACGTAAACGTGGGGCTAATTACTGTTATTAGTCGCCTGAATTGGTCTGAGTATGGAAGGCTTAGACGGAATTCGTACCTTAATGTAAATTGCTGAGCCAGTGTGAAAGGTTGCGTATTTTAATTGTTTAATTATTGATCTTGAGGATAGTAATTAATTACTCTAAAGGTAATCACGAGTGATTACCGTTCTCTTAGCACTTTGGACATTGCAAATCAGAGTTTACCATCGCTGAGTGATTAGTAACCGATTAACGTAAATTAACGTAACTAGTAAAGAGATTAATCAGCTGTCTGGAAGTACAGGGATTAATGGGATTTTCTCACTGAATGCTCGACGGGTAGAGTGTGTTTGATTTCCGCGTTACTAGTGACAGTTGTAAGAGTTGTTAATTTAACGTAAATGTTACCTTGTAATTAACGTAAATGTTATTGTGTTATTAACGTAAATCAATTGTTATTGATTGTCCGTGGGACGTAGTGTTAACGTAAGGATTAATTTGTGGAAGGGTGCTGGAGTTGCCAGTGAACCCATTAGTTATTGTTGTCATTGAAAGACTACTGATTGATTGCATTGCAACCGCTGTTGCAGGTGTAGACTGCACTGAGGCGTAGAACAGTTAGGAGGTTACTGGAGACGTATTTCAGAACCTACTGTGTCATTTGTTGTAATTGTGATTATAGATCTGTTAGTTCTTGCTTGCTTGTTGATTCCTCTGTGGTCACGCTTATGTTCGAGTTAGTTCATTATGCAGTCCGAGGGGCTGGTGTCTAGCTGTCATTGATAGTGTCACAGGAAGGATTTCGAGTAACGTCATTGACATTTCTTTTGTTTTGTTGTAGTAGTTAGTACTTTATTGAATAAACTAAGTTGTTATGGTTAACACTGTCTTTTCGTTACACCCCCACACATTATTATTGTTATGCAAATGTTCTTCACACTCGACTAACATTGAGACTTATTTTCTGAGCTTTGGATCAAATATACGGCACCACACAACAATAAATTATTGTTGTGAGAGCCCGTGACCTACTCGTTAGATTCGCTTCGGCGATTGGCGAAGGTCGGCGGCCTAAGTGGGGGGGATTTCAATTTTCATTGGGGTCTCGGCGTTTGCTCGCGCCTAGTCAATTGTTCACACATGGTCCCAAAGTGAGGAATGAGCTGGTTACTACACTGGTGTGTTAGCTAAGCAAGTCCTTCCTCAGGCGACCTAGTTGAATATCACGACAGGAATAAAGGTTAAAGAATAAAGAAAGTTCTTAGAAATTTTCCGAGCTAAAATTCCTTATACCAATTTTAATTTATTCCAAAACTTCTCACAAGTTAAAAACTACAAACTCTCACACCGTGGATCTTACGCATCACCCATAGTCTGCAAGTACGCTGAGAGGTCTTCTTTCATTCCATGTGTGGACCGAAGAGGAAATGGACGGAATATTGAGCATCAAGTGCTCCAGGGTCGGGTGCTGTGCAGGTGAAGTCTAAGCAGTATCGTCTGGGACGTCTGATAGCTTCACAGTGACGACGTAGCGGCTGGGCCAATCCACTGGGAAGCAGTGAAAGAAGATACTAATTGGGAATCCGCACGACTGCAGCCAAGACGTAGGTTGGCAGCCGTAGTTGGGAGAAGTTGACGGCCGGGAGACCGACTCCAACCCTACAAGACATGGAGGAGGAGCGCGGACCCGCAGAGGACAGAACACGGAGACGACGCGTTTATTTTGGGACGTTGATTGGGTTCCTGGAGGACACGACAGGGTGTGTGTGGGGGCGTTTCCTACATGAGGCGGGAGCCTGGACCAGGAGCTACAACTCAACTCTCACCGGAGGATAGGTGGAAGTTGGTGATTCTAGTTTCCCTCCCAATTCCCCTTTAGTCAGCTATATTATTTAGCCAGAGTATTTTGTATGTTGTGAGCAAGGCTCACCTATGTCACAGTAAGGCACAAGTGTGCAGAGTGGGAATACGTAGAGCACTCACGGTATCTATTACTATTATTGGTGTGTGCAGGCACCCGGAGTAATTGATGAATTTACTGTGTTGATAATGTCTTTCATGAGACTTTAATATGATCATTTAGTGAGAGAATATATATATATATATATATATATATATATATATATATATATATATATATATATATATAAATGTACCAGTATTGGGTGTTAGGCTATGTGCCCAGTAACTATATTATTACTATTATTGATATCTAAGATTTATCTATATATATATGTCTATGCTTGTGTATTGAATAACCATTCATGTGTGCAGTGATCAATTGAATATTCGCCCACGAAAGGAATTACTGAGAACTCCAGTAATATATACTTACATGCGTTATCATTAAATGAGGTGCAGTGTGTTGTACCATGATAGTGAATTATTGTGTTCATTAATATAGAAATGTTTAATTGAGCTCAAGATCAGTGCAGCGAAGTATTTACGTTCTATTGCTATTGTCGCAGATATTGTGTTGTTTGAACATTTAGTGATCCTTGAGAATTTAAAGAAAAAGGCATATTTCGCCAACAAACAAGTGCAGTAAGAGATCACGCAGTGGGGGGGGGGGGGAGTCGCCCAGCTGATTTTGACATTGACGTGAGGGGGAGCAATGCCAGCTTGGCGAGTTCATGATTATATGTGGGAATGAGCGACTTACGCATGAAATAGCTGTTTACTTGTTGATATACGGATCTGATGTCTTGAGTTTTAAGTAAAACGCAAAATACCTTGGCGTTTGTATCATCCCCTCCATATTTCTTGTGGCTATATAATACATGAAAGGAAATAGAGTGATAGAAATAAATACCTGCCTGATATCAGACCTATTGAGTGTGCTCTTGCCACTGTTACCACAATTCAACGAAACCACTTACTGGACACAGTAAGTAACCACTTACGTGTTACTGGACACAGGAAACACCAGTTGGCGACCTTGTGGTTAATAGTAGAGCCCTTGCCGGGGCGGGCACACAATAGTTAAGAGAACAAGTTGTGTTCCCACTCATTCTCGATCAGAGGCCGGTTGGGATTGACTGGGATACTCTCCTAGCGTACAGTGGCGCCGCGAGGATAGAGTGAAGACCAGCAGGGCTACAGTGAGTGACCTTGTGTATACTGTTGCTCACCCTCTTATGGTGAACCCGACAATATATTATATATATATATATATATATATATATATATATATATATATATATATATATATATATATATATATATATATATATATATATATGCAATATTAGGCCTATAAAAATTATTGTTTGGTTTTACTTATATTTGTTATTTACTCCTTAAATTAATAGTAAACAGCCTGGTGTAATGGTGGTCTTTAGTTCTCTCGACCAAAACGTTACCTAAAGTACTATCGCCTCAGGAGTCTGCGTTGCTAAAAACAATGTGTCATCTCCTTGTCTGTGCCACACTCACACTCACATTCCTTAAATGTTTACCTTAACACTGACAACATTTATATAGAGATGCAAGTAAAACATCCTGACTACTCACCGCCTTAAGTTCCTCAGTGATTGTCTGCTCCAGTTTGAACCTTGGGAAGTAAAGACGTACGGTCTCCTCTTCCAGGTTGGTGAGGGCGTGGCGGAGATTGTCGTGGGAGAGGCGCCGCAGCATGGCGTCCAGGGGCGTGGCGGAGTTGCCAGAGGCGCCGCCGGGGGTGTTGTCAGGCAGCAACACCAACATGGACGCCGCCTTCCCCTTGTACGGCATCTCTAACACCGTCGCTCCCAGCTCACTCGAGACTCCTGCAACCACAGACCACTGTAACCAGTGTTCACTCTCAGGACTGTCATACTAGTCTCCTACAACCACAGTCCACTGTAACCAGTGTTCACTCTCAGAACTGTCACACTAGTCTCCTACAACCACAGTCCACTGTAACCAGTGTTCACTCTCAGAACTGTCACACTTGTCTCCTACAACCACAGTCCACTGTAACCAGTGTTCACTCTCAGAACTGTCACACTAGTCTACTGCAACCACAGTCCACTGTAACCAGTGTTCACTCTCAGAACTGTCACACTAGTCTCCTACAACCACAGTCCACTGTAACCAGTGTTCACTCTCAGGACTGTCACACTAGTCTACTGCAACCACAGTCCACTGTAACCAGTGTTCACTCTCAGGACTGTCACAATAGTCTACTGCAACCACAGTCACTGTAATGGTGTTTACTCTCAGGACTGTCACAATATATATATATATATATATATAATATATATATATATTATATATATATATATATATATATTTATACATATATTAGGTTAGGTAGTCGAGAAAACATTAATTCATGAAAACTTGGCTTATTCGGCAAAACGGGCCCTGCATAGTAGGCTGAGAAGTGCGTTCTGGCTACTAGGTACGACATATATATATATATATATATATATATATATATATATATATATATATATATATATATATATATATAGATATATAGATATATATATATATATATATATAAATATATATTATTAATATGACCGAAAAAGTAAGATTAATAATTCTAACACGAATTTTCTCAATCTTTCGTACATTTCTTTTCACTGTTGGAGGTAAATCAAAAATCAATTCTCCAAAATTCATTTTTATTTCTAGTCTGACGCGACACGAGCGCGTTTCGTAAAACTTATTACATTTTCAAAGACTTTAGTTTACAAATAACAACTGAATAGAAATAGAACTGAGTGTTCTGTCTTGTGTTGATGAAATTAATACCCTATTAATACCACCTCTTGTTCTGTCTTGTGTTGATGAAATTAATACCCTATTAATGCCACCTCACCCCATCCACCTCTCTCAAATGTAGATGTAAAACCGGAGATGCGTAAGTTCTATTCAGTTGTTATTTGTAAACTAAAGTCTTTGAAAATGTAATAAGTTTTACAAAACGCGCTCGTGTCGCGTCAGACTAGAAATAAAAATGAATTTTGGAGAATTGATTTTTGATTTACCTCCAACAGTGAAAAGAAATGTACGAAAGATTGAGAAAATTCGTGTTAGAATTATTAATCTTACTTTTTCGGTCATATTTAATAATATATGTCTACAGGAAAGACTGCTACCAAAACATACTAATATTAAAGCGCACGACCCAGCAGCAAGGAATCAAGCCTTCACGCTAAAATATCGCCAGGATCTGATTCGTGATCAGATATACAAGGAAGAGAATGAAATCAAAGACAACAAAACGCAACTACTTCATGCTACAAACGAATGGAGAAATAGCAACATCGACGAAAGTATCCATACCCACATTGAACAACACCTCGACATCCTCACAGACCGACATCACCTCAGCACTGAAACAAGGATTATCAAGAAACTAACAACATTATATGGAGGACCTATGGCAATTCCACGACCAAGAGATAGCTTCCTGAACCTTGCAGGAATTAACCTCACTGAGGACCAAGTCACTCTCCTAAATCTGGGCATAAACTGTCATGTTATGTCCAGACCGAGTGAGATGGCCCGGAAAGTAGAGTTGGAAATTCTGTTGGACGACATATTCGACCTCGAGACACAAAAGAAGGTCACTACCAAAGATACCTTACAAGCAGAACTTATTGCAGAAGGAGGAAAGAATCGAGGCAATTACAGAAGCACCATACTGTCCCCCGAGCTCAAAGCGGCAGCTAAAAGCCTTCGTGAGAACAAGGAGATAGTTGTCAGGAGAGGTGACAAGTCGCCAATATATGTCATTCTTAAAAAAGACGAATATCTTGCGAAAATGAACATCATACTCTCTGACCAAACTAAGTTCCAAAGGGTAACGAAGGACACTACAGCCGAATTAAAAGCAAAGGTCAACAAACTGATCGAAACTTTGAACGCCAAGAAATCCGGACTCCACCTGCCAAAGATCATTGGGGAATATAAACCTGGATATGCGTATGGAAATGTCAAGACACACAAGCCTGGAAACCCACTTCGGCCAATCATTAGCCAGATACCCACACCCACGTACAGACTGGCGAAGCGACTCAACGGCCTGCTGACTCCTTATGTTCCTTGCGCCTTCAGCCTGAAGTCTCCAAAAGAATTTGTTGACTTACTGCGGGGCACACGGGCCACAGGGATAAGAGCCTCGTTGGACGTAGAATCGCTGTTTACCAACGTACCTGTGGACGAGACAATCGGGATGATAGCCGACAGAGTGTATCGTGATCCAGCCTGTACTCCTCTTGACATACCAGAAAATATTCTGAGGAAACTACTCCAAGCTTGTACTAAAGAGGCACCCTTCTTGAGCCCGGATGGGCACATGTATAAGCAAGTAGATGGGGTCGCCATGGGTTCTCCCCTAGGTGTCCTGTTTGCAAACTTCTACATGGGTACCATCGAGCAAAAAGTCTTAGTCGACATGAACTTGAAACCGGCCATATACTGCAGGTATGTTGACGACATTTTTACACAGGTACCTGATGTCAGACATCTGCAGGAGCTGAAGGAGGCATTTGAGCAGAGTTCCGTGCTGCGTTTCACTTACGAGATGGAAAAGGATGGGAAGCTGCCCTTTCTAGATGTAACAGTCATGGAAAAGAGCGGAGGTTTCCACACTGCAGTCTACACTAAGGAAACGAACATAGGAATGTGCCTAAATGCCAACAGCGACTGCCCAGACAGGTACAAGAGGAGTGTTGTTAACGCATATGTCGACCGTGCTCTCAGCCACAGCTCAGAATGGAAGCAAGTCGACGAAGAACTCTGTAGGGTAAGGCAGGTCCTAGTCAACAACGGCTTCTCCAATGGTTTCGTGGAAGACATCATAAGAAGGAAAGTGAAACGCCATGCAACCTCTGAAGAGACAACTAACACAACACCTATACCCCCTATTAGACTATTTTACAGGAACTTCTTTTCCACAGCTCATAAAACGGAGGAAAGGGTCCTGAAAGATATTGTTAATAGAAACGTTATCCCTACAGACAAAAATCAGAAGATACAACTGACAATTTACTATAAAACCAGAAAAAACGGCCAGCCTACTCATGAGAAACTCTCCAGACACAAAACAGAACGCTTTAAAAGAGACTAACGTCGTCTATGCCTTCAAATGCCCTCTTGGGGACTGTAAGCTCCAAAAAACCCAGTATATAGGCAAGACAACAACATCTCTTTCTAGGCGTTTAACGATGCATAAGCAACAGGGCTCCATTAAGGAACATATAATCTCTTCCCACAACCAAACCATCGCCAGAGAAATCCTAGTAAACAACACAGAAATCATCGATAGATGCAGCGATAGCAGGCGGCTTGACGTTTGCGAGGCACTACACATCAAGAAGTCAACACCAGCAATCAACAGCCAATTAATGTACAACTATATTCTACTCACCTCAAGACTTCGCTCCAATATAGAAGCATCAAGAAATATGGACCAATAGGCTTTCTGCAATCACTTCTATTCAATACCCATTGTTTCGTGTTCTGTCTTGTGTTGATGAAATTAATACCCTATTAATACCACCTCACCCCATCCACCTCTCTTAAATGTAGATATAAAATCGGAGATGCGTAAGTTCTATTCAGTTGTTATTTGTAAACTAAAGTCTTTGAAAATGTAATAAGTTTTACGAAACGCGCTCGTGTCGCGTCAGACTAGAAATAAAAATGAATTTTGGAGAATTGATTTTTGATTTACCTCCAACAGTGAAATGAAATGTACGAAAGATTGAGAAAATTCGTGTTAGAATTATTAATCTTACTTTTCGGTCATATTTAATAATATATGTCTACAGGAAAGACTGCTACCAAAATATACTAATATAAATATATATATATATATATATATATATATATATATATATCTATATATATATATATATATATATATATATATATATATATGCAAATGAAAACTCACACCCCAGAAGTGACTCGAACCCATACTCCCAGGAGCAACACAACTGGTAACTACAGGGCGCCTTAATCTACTTGACCATCACGGCCGTCAAAAGGAAGTGATAGCCGAGGCTATTTGAGCCACTTCCCCGACGGCAACTCGGATGGTAATCTTGGGCATAGCATTTCACCAAATCACCTCATTCTTTGGGGCACACGTGAGGAACACAAATGCGAACAAGCCTGAATGGTCCCCAGGACTATATGCGAATGAAAACTCACACCCCAGAAGTGACTCGAACCCATACTCCCAGAAGCAACGCAACTGGTAACTACAGGGCGCCTTAATCCGCTTGACCATCACGGCCGTCAAAAGGAAGTGATAGCCGAGGCTATTTGAGCCACTTCCCGACGGCAACTCGGATGGTAATCTTGGGCATAGCATTTCACCAAATCACCTCATTCTTTGGGGCACACGTGAGGAACACAAATGCGAACAAGCCTGAATGGTCCCCAGGACTATATGCGAATGAAAACTCACACCCAGAAGTGACTCGAACCCATACTCCCAGAAGCAACGCAACTGGTAACTACAGGGCGCCTTAATCCGCTTGACCATCACGGCCGTCAAAAGGAAGTGATAGCCGAGGCTATTTGAGCCACTTCCCCGACGGCAACTCGGATGGTAATCTTGGGCATAGCATTTCACCAAATCACCTCATTCTTTGGGGCACACGTGAGGAACACAAATGCGAACAAGCCTGAATGGTCCCCAGGACTATATGCGAATGAAAACTCACACCCCAGAAGTGACTCGAACCCATACTCCCAGAAGCAACGCAACTGGTAACTACAGGGCGCCTTAATCCGCTTGACCATCACGGCCGTCAAAAGGAAGTGATAGCCGAGGCTATTTGAGCCACTTCCCCGACGGCAACTCGGATGGTAATCTTGGGCATAGCATTTCACCAAATCACCTCATTCTTTGGGGCACACGTGAGGAACACAAATGCGAACAAGCCTGAATGGTCCCCAGGACTATATGCGAATGAAAACTCACACCCCAGAAGTGACTCGAACCCATACTCCCAGAAGCAACGCAACTGGTAACTACAGGGGGCCTTAATCCACTTGACCATCACGGCCGTCAAAAGGAAGTGATAGCCAAGGCTATTTGAGCCACTTCCCCGACGGCAACTCGGATGGTAATCTTGGGCATAGCATTTCACCAAATCAAGTTACCAGTTGCGTTGCTCCTGGGAGTATGGGTTCGAGTCACTTCTGGGGTGTGAGTTTTCATTTCCATATAGTCCTGGGGACCATTCAGGCTTGTTCGCATTTGTGTTCCTCACATGTGCCCCAAAGAATGAGGTGATTTGGTGAAATGCTATGCCCAAGATTACCATCCGAGTTGCCGTCGGGGAAGTGGCTCAAATAGCCTCGGCTATCACTTCCTTTTGACGGCCGTGATGGTCAAGTGGATTAAGGCGCCCTGTAGTTACCAGTTGCGTTGCTTCTGGGAGTATGGGTTCGAGTCACTTCTGGGGTGTGAGTTTTCATTCGCATATAGTCCTGGGGACCATTCAGGCTTGTTCGCATTTGTGTTCCTCACGTGTGCCCCAAAGAATATATATATAATATTATTATATATATATATAATATATATATATATATATATATAATATATATATATATATAAATATATATAGGAGGTGATTTGGTGAAATGCTATGCCCAAGATTACCATCCGAAGTTGCCGTCGGGGAGTGGGCTCAAATAGCCTCGGCTATCACTTCCTTTTGACGGCCGTGATGGTCAAGCGGATTAAGGCGTACCTGTAGTTACCAGTTTGCTGGAGGCTTCTGTGGAGTATAGGGTTCGAGTCACTTCTGGGGTGTGAGTTTTCATTTGCATATAGTCCTGGGGACCATTCAACTCTCGTGTGTTTACGTGTGCCCCAAAGAGAGTTGATTGCCTTAAGCATAGGACACGAGTGCCTTCCCATATTAAATAGGGACTTGATGAAATTAACGTCTAAATGACCCCTCACTTGCTCTAGTGCTCTTGGGAGGTGGTGATCTTTGGTGTGAGTTTTAAATACTCCGAATTACCATCTCGTGTTTAAGGGTCTGAGCTGGTGGTGGAGTGGGTTATAGGCGTACCTGTTATGACGGCAGTTGCTGATTAAGGCTTCAGTTGCGTGCTGGCTAGGGTTCGAGTCTCCTGGTGGGAAAGAACTCTCGTGTTTAGGAGAGTTGTGCCTTAAGCATAGACACTGTGTCTTCCCATATTAACAGGGACTTGATGAAATTAACGTCTAAATGACCCCTCACTTGCTCTAGTGCTCTTGGGAGGTGGTGATCTTTGGTGTATTTAAATACTCCGAAATTACCATCTCTTTTAAGGGTCTGAGCTGGTGGTGGAGTGGGTTAAGGCGTACCTGTTATGCCAGTTGCTGGAAGGCTTCTGTGCTGGCTAGGGTTCGAGTCTCCTGGTGGGAAAGTGTTCTAAAGTTGTATACTTAACTCTCGTGTTTAGGAGAGTTGTGCCTTAAGCATAGACACTGTGTCTTCCCATATTAACAGGGACTTGATGAAATTAACGTCTAAATGACCCCTCACTTGCTCTAGTGCTCTTGGGAGGTGGTGATCTTTGGTGTATTTAAATACTCCGAAATTACCATCTCTTTTAAGGGTCTGAGCTGGTGGTGGAGTGGGTTAAGGCGTACCTGTTATGCCAGTTGCTGGAAGGCTTCTGTGCTGGCTAGGGTTCGAGTCTCCTGGTGGGAAAGTGTTCTAAAGTTGTATACTTAACTCTCGTGTTTAGGAGAGTTGTGCCTTAAGCATAGACACTGTGTCTTCCCATATTAACAGGGACTTGATGAAATTAACGTCTAAATGACCCCTCACTTGCTCTAGTGCTCTTGGGAGGTGGTGATCTTTGGTGTATTTAAATACTCCGAAATTACCATCTCTTTTAAGGGTCTGAGCTGGTGGTGGAGTGGGTTAAGGCGTACCTGTTATGCCAGTTGCTGGAAGGCTTCTGTGCTGGCTAGGGTTCGAGTCTCCTGGTGGGAAAGTGTTCTAAAGTTGTATACTTAACTCTCGTGTTTAGGAGAGTTGTGCCTTAAGCATAGACACTGTGTCTTCCCATATTAACAGGGACTTGATGAAATTAACGTCTAAATGACCCCTCACTTGCTCTAGTGCTCTTGGGAGGTGGTGATCTTTGGTGTATTTAAATACTCCGAAATTACCATCTCTTTTAAGGGTCTGAGCTGGTGGTGGAGTGGGTTAAGGCGTACCTGTTATGCCAGTTGCTGGAAGGCTTCTGTGCTGGCTAGGGTTCGAGTCTCCTGGTGGGAAAGTGTTCTAAAGTTGTATACTTAACTCTCGTGTTTAGGAGAGTTGTGCCTTAAGCATAGACACTGTGTCTTCCCATATTAACAGGGACTTGATGAAATTAACGTCTAAATGACCTCTCACTTGCTCTAGTGCTCTTGGGAGGTGGTGATCTTTGGTGTATTTAAATACTCCGAAATTACCATCTCTTTTAAGGGTCTGAGCTGGTGGTGGAGTGGGTTAAGGCGTACCTGTTATGCCAGTTGCTGGAAGGCTTCTGTGCTGGCTAGGGTTCGAGTCTCCTGGTGGGAAAGTGTTCTAAAGTTGTATATATGTGTATATATATATATATATATATATATATATATATATATATATATATATATATATATATATATATATATATATATATATATATATATTGTGATTGTGTCATTTAAGTATTCTTATTATTTTGATTGATTGATTTTATTATAAGAATTTGTTTGTGCATTTTATTCATGTTTTGATTTATTTAACGTAATTAAATTTCATTGTTAAAATTTACTTGTGTTTTGTGTGTCTTCTCCTTACCTTACCACAGACGAAGTTCCAGTTTTTCTATTTTTTTTATAACTATGTGACGAGGCCATACCCCTAGCCTTAAACAGCCGAACACCAACGCGTTACCGTCACAATATATATATATATATATATATATATATATATATATATATATATATATATATATATATATATATATATATATATATATGTCGTACCTAGTAGCCAGAACGCACTTCTCAGCCTACTATGCAAGGCCCGATTTGCCTAATAAGCCAAGTTTTCCTGAATTGATATATTTCTCTATTTTTTTTCTTATGACATGATAAAGCTACCCATTTCATTATATATGAGATCAATTTTTTTTATTGGAGTTCAAAATTAACGTAGATATATGGCCAAACCTAACCAACCCTACCTAACCTAACCTAACCTATCTTTATAGGTTAGGTTAGGTTAGGTAGCAGAAAAAGTTAGGTTAGGTTAGGTTAGGTAGGTTAGGTAGTCTCGAAAAAACAATTAATTCATGAAAACTTGGCTTATTAGGCAAATCGGGCCTTGCATAGTAGGCTGAGAAGTGCGTTCTGGCTATTAGGTACGACATATATTATATATATATATATATATATATATATATATATATATATATATATATATATATATATATATATATATATATATATATGTCGTCTACCTAATAGCCAGAACGCTCTTCTCAGCCTACTATTCAAGGCTCGATTTGCCTAATAAGCCAAGTTTTCATGAATTAATGTTTTTTCGTCTACCTAACCTACCTAACCTAACCTAACCTAGCTTTTTTTGGCTACCTAACCTAACCTTACCTATAAATATAGGTTAGGTTAGGTTAGGTAGGGTTGGTTAGGTTCGACATATATATATATATATATATATATATATATATATATATATATATATATATATATATATATATATATATATATATATATATATATATATATATATATATATATATATATGCATTTACATATGCATATGTATATATACCCTTACCAAATCTGAATTTTCGAAGTTGGGTCATCATGTCAACAAGGCTGTGTTGTCTCGGGGTGGTGAAGAACTTCTGCTTGGTTGTTTGGGTTAGGTTGAATTGATTCAACCAGAAACCTTTGAAGTAGACGGTGTTGACCAGCGTCATCAGTGTCCTGGCCACGTCGCTCTCTGTCACCACAGTTGGGATCTTGCCTCGCGTTGTTTTGTTCACGAACTGGTTGATTGTCGCAGCTGCTTTGGCCGCCTGTCAACATAACGATAAGATTAAGCTCAGTGCCTTTACGTGACTCTTCAATCCATCACATTATAAGCTGACAATTGTTCCTACCGACCTTTCAAGGGGGAGAGTTAGAGAAGTAACATAAAGAAGTTCTTTGGATTTTAAGAAAAAAGTTTTCTGAATCCAATTTCAGAGGATTGGAAGTTAACTGTTGTAGAGAATCTAAGCTCAGGTGTTCAGACAAGACCTTAGTGATGGTGCACAAGACACCATAACATGGTGGTGACCTCAGCTCAGGTGTTCAGACAAGACCTTATTGATGGTGCACAAGACACCATAACATGGTGGTGACCACAGCTCAGGTGTTCAGACAAGACCTTAGTGATGGTGCACAAGACACCATAACATGGTGGTGACCACAGCTCAGGTGTTCAGACAAGACCTTAGTGATGGTGCACAAGACACCATAACATGGTGGTGACCACAGCTCAGGTGTTCAGACAAGACCTTAGTGATAGTGCACAAGACACCATAACATGGTGGTGACCACAGCTCAGGTGTTCAGACAAGACCTTAGTGATAGTGCACAAGACACCATAACATGGTGGTGACCACAGCTCAGGTGTTCAGACAAGACCTTAGTGATGGTGCACAAGACACCATAACATGGTGGTGACCACAGCTCAGGTGTTCAGACAAGACCTTAGTGATAGTGCACAAGACACCATAACATGGTGGTGACCACAGCTCAGGTGTTCAGACAAGACCTTAGTGATGGTGCACAAGACACCATAACATGGTGGTGACCACAGCTCAGGTGTTCAGACAAGACCTTAGTGATGGTGCACAAGACACCATAACATGGTGGTGACCACAGCTCAGGTGTTTAGACAAGACCTTAGTGATGGTGCACAAGACACCATAACATGGTGTCGTGTGTCATCACGCTACCCTCCCCAACCATCGGGAGGGGTGATGATACACGACCATCACCATCACCCTACCCTCCACCTCATACCATCACCCTACCCTCCCCCTCATACCATCACCCTACCCTCCTCCTCATACCATCACCCTACCCTCCCCCTCATACCATCACCTTACCATCCCTCCTCATACCATCACCCTACCCTCCTCCTCATACCATAACCCTACCCTCCCCCCTCACCCCCATCAACCTACCCTTCCCCTCACACATCACCCTACCCCCCCCCCTCACACCATCACCCTACCCTCTCCCCCTCACAACATCACCTTCCCCTCCCCCTCACACCATCACCCTACCTTTCCCCTCACCCCGATCAACCTACCCTCCCCCTCACAACATCACCCTTCCCCTCACACCATCACCCTACCCTCACCCTCACACAATCACCCTACCTCCCCCTTACACCATCACCCTACCCTCCCCCTCCCCCCCCCCTCCCATCCACACTCAACCCTCACCCTCACCAATCACCCTACCCTCTCGCCTCACACCACAACCCTTCCCTACCCTCACACTACCCCCCCACCCTCCCCCCTCACCATCTCCCTACCTCCCCTCTCCCCCCTCACATCCGTCACCCTACCCTCCCTCTCACCCTCACCTTCCCATCACCCTAACCCTCCTCCCCCACACTCCCTCCCTCTCCCTACCCTCCCCCCTCACACCATCACCCTACCCTTCCCCTCACAGCCTACCCTCCCCTCCCATCCCACCCTACCCTCCCCCTCCCCTCACTCCTCATCACCCCCTACCCTCCCCCTCACAACCATCACCCTACCCTCCCAATCTCCCTATCACCCTACCCTCCCCCTCACCCTACCATCCCCCTCACCCTCTTCCCTACCCTCCCCCTCCCCCCCCCTACCCCCCCCTCACACCCAACACCCTACCCTCCCCTGTCACACCCATCACCCTACCCTTCCCGCACCCTCATCACCCTACCCTCCCCCCCTCACACCCAACACCCTACGGTCCCCTCATCCCCTCACCCGCATCACCCTACCCACCCCCTCACACTCATCACCCTACCATCCCTCACCATCAAGTATCCTACCCTGCTCTCACACTGGTGACGAGTTTAGGAGATATTTTAGAAGTACTCTATTCTGCTGTCACACTGGTATCGAGGCCAGGAGATACTCTTGAAGTACTCTATCCTGCTGTCACACTGGTAACGAGGCCAGGAGATACTCTTGAAGTACTCTATCCTGCTGTCACACTGGTAACGAGGTCTTGAGTGACTCTGGCAGAACCCTACCCTACTGTCACAAAGGTGACGAGGCACCACTTGACAGCTTGTTTTCTAAAAATCACCACCTTCCTCGTCGCTTCCAGCTTGCCCTTGCCTCCCTGAAATCTAACAATTCTATTCTTATCCTTCCCTCCGACAAAGGCAATTCGGTGGTTGTCCTTGACCGTGAGGACTACCTCCAGAAAGCAGATGTCCTGCTCTCTTACTCCCGCACTTATGCCCACTGACTTCTAACCCTTTGGATCGCCTTAAAACTTCCTTTAACCGCAAACTAAGACAGCTCTCTAGTCTTTGTCCTCCTGACTTCGATCTCAATAAACGTTTCTGTGTCATCTGACCTTCTCTTCCTTATTTTTAGGGTCTATCTAAGACTCATAAACCTGGTGTTCCTCTTCGTCCAATCATTTATTCACGGGGCTCTGTCAGCTATCCTCTTGGCTACTGGCACTTTTTCTCCTGCCCACCTTCATCACGCTCAGGACTTAATAGAAAGACTGCGCCTGCAGCCGTCCTGTAAGATGCTTAGTCTTGATGTCGACTCTCTGTTCACTAATGTTCCCCTCGATGACGTTCTCTCTTTCCTTAGACAGAAGGCTACTGGGGTCCTTCTTCCTCTCCCGCTTCCCACTGACGTTTTCCTTAAACTCATTAGACTCTGTATTGACTCTCCTTCTCTTTCAACGGTAAATATTACACTCAAACTAGGTGTCGCTATCGGTTCCCCTCTCTCCCCTGTTCTTGCCAATTTCTACATGGAATACTTCGAGACTGTTCTTCTTCTACTTCTTCCTTCTGTTGATACTCGTCCCTCTCTCTGGCTTCGCTATGTTGATGACATTTCTTCTTTATGGCCTCATGACCTTAGTCTTTTCCAGCCTTTTCTCTCCTCTCGTAACAATCAGGCTCCTTCCATCCATTTCAAAGTTGAATGAGAATCTAATTCCCTCCTTCCTTTTCTTGACGTTCACGTTCACAGCTCTGTGTCCGGGTTCTCTTTCTCTGTCTACCGCAAACCCCTGCATAGCGGCATGTACATTCACTTCTTTTCCTACCATCCTCCTTCTGTTAAGAAAAGTGTCCTCGTCTCTCTCTTCCTCCGCGCTCTACTCATCAGCGACCCTCAGTTTCTTGATTCTGAAATTGCCTTTATCTACAAATCATTCTCTCGCCTTGGTTACCCTTTGTATTTTATATACTGTGCCTACTCTCAAATTATCGAAATTTCTTTCATGCTAAACCTGCTTCCAACTCCAGTGGCACTGTGCTCTGCTTTCCCTTCATATCTGAACTCAAAACGTTTGCTAATACTTTTCGTCCTCTTGACATAAAACTCACCTGTCGACAAACTAACACACTTCGCAGCAATCTAGTTCACACTGCTCCTCCTGCTTCTAATGCCGCTGGTGTCTAATCTATTTCCTGTTCGTCTTCTCCTCTCCAATACTTTGGTGAAACTGGCCGTACACTTAATGACAGTACCTTACCTAAATAAAAATTATTATTATTATTATTATTATTATTACTTAAAGAACACAAAGAAGTGTTAAGTCTGCAGACACAAACAATGCTCTCGTCCGTCATGTTTGGGATTCTAATGATTCTATTGACTGGTCTTCCTTCAAAATAATCTTTCCTGCCTCTACAGAGACGCCGTCGTGTTGAATCGGCTCTGATACACAACATAACCAACATGAACTTGAGTCCTGGTTTTATTGCTGTTGACTCTCACCTTTCACAGTATATACTCAACTGCTCTAAACTTTCTAACAAGCGTGACCTAACGTAGGCTTACCCTTCCATTTATCTTAGTTTGTTTCTTTCTTTTTTTTCCTTGTTTTCTCTAACGATCCCTTTTTTTTATTTCTTCATTATATTTTAATTATTTCTTATTCCTTTATGTTTTAAGAATTATTTCTTATTTCTTTATTTTTTAAGAATTATTTCTTATTCCTTTATTATACTTTACCTTTCGTACCTTTTGCCTTGCTTTTTCCTCCTCTATGATTTCCTTCTCCTTATCTCTCTCTTGCCAATTTATTGCCTTCGCCTCCTTCTCTCATCACAATCGACTTGAGAATGGTATATCTAGGATATCTTGAGATGATTTCAGGGCTTAGCGTCCCCGCGGCCCGGTCCTCAACCAGGCCTCCTTTTTGTTACATACCCCCAGGAAGCAGCCCGTAGCAGCTGGGCTGCTACAGGCTGTTTCTGGGGGCATGGGGGCCCTGCGGGTACCTGGGCCCGTACCCAGCAGGTACGGGCCCAGGTACCTATTTACTGCTAGGTAACAGGGGCATCAGGGTGAAAGAAACTTTTTTGCCCATTTGTCTCCGCCTCCATCGGGGATCGAACCCGGAACCTCAGGACTATGAATCCAAAGCGCTATCCACTCAGCTCTCTGGCGCCCGTACAGGACGGGCCGAAACGTCGTCGTCCCTTCACTTTCTAATGTGTGGGTTTGGTCAACATATATCAGTCACGTAATTGTGACTCCTCGTCTGCACTCTAGAAGTTCTCTATCCTGCTGTCGCACTGTTGACGAGGCTAGGAGATACTCTTGAAGTACTCTACCCTGTTGTCACACTGTTGACGAGGCATTGAGGGACTCTTGAAGTACTCTACCCTGCTGTAACACTGGTAACGAGGACTTGAGAGACTCTTGAAGTACTCTACCCTGCTATCACACTGTTGACGAGGCATTGAGGGACTCTTGAAGTACTCTACCCTGCTGTAACACTGGTAACGAGGACTTGAGAGACTCTTGAAGTACTCTACCCTGCTGTCACACTGGTAACGAGGACTTGAGGGACTCTTGAAGTACTCTACCCTGCTGTCACACTGGTAACGAGGCCTTGAGGGACTCTTGAAGTACTCTACCTTGCTGTCACACTAGTAACGAGGACTTGAGGGACTCTTGAAGTACTCTACCCTGCTGTCACACTGGTAATGAGGACTTGAGGGACTCTTGAAGTACTCTACCTTGCTGTCACACTAGGTAACGAGGACATGAGGGACACTCTTGAAGTACTCTACCCTGCTGTCACACTGGTGACGAGGACTTGAGGGACTCTTGAAGTACTCTACCCTGCTGTCACACTGGTAACGAGGACTTGAGGGACTCTTGAAGTACTCTACCTTGCTGTCACACTAGTAACGAGGACTTGAGGGACTCTTGAAGTACTCTACCCTGCTGTCACACTGGTGACGAGGCCTTGAGGGACTCTTGAAGTACTCTACCCTGCTGTCACACTGGTAACGAGGACTTGAGGGACTCTTGAAGTACTCTACCCTGCTGTCACACTGGTGACGAGGCCTTGAGGGACTCTTGAATTACTCTACCCTGCTGTCACACTGGGGACGAGACCAGGAGGCTTCATGTGAATTATAATATTTCACAAATAAATATAGACAGAAGGTGATATGCAGAAATAGACTGACCTGTGAGAAGTCGATATTCTCCACCTCTTTCTTAAGGACATCTCTGATGCAGTCCCGAAGAGGGAAGCCGCTCTTCACATACACTTTGTTGGCCAAGTCTATCACATAGTCACTCGTGTTGCTCTGTCTCTCTGCGTTTCTGTAGGGGCATCTTAATTATAATATATAATACATGCGTTTATAAACGCTCATAAATAACAAGTTAAAGAGGACTCAGATATTCAATTATACATATAGTAATTAAGATGACAAGTGAGGAATATGAGTGGACTCACAGACGGTCGAGGGCCCTGTAGGTAGCCAGAGTGGTTGAAGGGTCTCTGAGACGAAGGGTGTCCTGCAGCTGCTGACGAGTCCTGCCAGCAGACCCAAAGTAGGCCAGGACCAGGGCGGTCCACACGCTGTAGGGCGAGAAGAAAAGGTTTCCTGTGGCGGTGGGTGGATAGAGCTGCTTGAAGAGGTCCAAGCTGAAGGGGGTGATGTGGGCCAGGTCAGGTGGGGAGGTCACCACCAGCTTGTCATTGTTGGAGATACACTGAGGCCTCACCACACTCACCAGCGTCACCACCAACACTGCTGCACACCACAGCTTCCTCATACTGTGGGGAAGAGGACTGTAGCAGCGGCGCTCCACCAACACTGATGACTACTTTATTGTATTACAAATACCAATATCGTAATGAATTAAATATTTATACAAGTAGAAGCTCGCAGTCGTGTGAGGAGAGTTGTGGTGTAATGCTTTTGTTGGTGATGGGTGGTGGTGAGGGTGGGGGGGGAGCGGGGTGCGGGGTGGTGGTGATGGATGGTAGTGATGGGTGCAGGTGATGGGGTGCTGGTAATGAACGGTGGTGCTGGGTGGTGGTGATAGATGGTGGTGATGGGTGGTGGTGATGGGTGGTGGTGATGAGTAGTGGTGATGGGTGGTGGTTGTCGGAAAATCCGACACCATTTAATATATCATACTGACAGATAATAATTGCTGCTGTATTACCAACAAGTTACCCATAGAAAACGTAACTTGTAGTGGAATTACCGTCTATAGAAAACGGGATATCATCACCACATACTATTATAATTCACCATCTATTATGGTAGGAATTATTCTTAAATACATTAGTCTTAGGACTTTACCATCAGAAAAACATCTAATATAAATTAACTTAATTATCAATATTAAAGTAGAGTAAATGTGACCCTTCTATCACTTATTTACATCTGGACAATGTAAGCTAGGCGTCAGAGTGAGGAAGGAGGGGTAGCCATTGTTGTTGTCACCTCCGAGACGTGTGGATCAAATTTGGCTCCTATCATATCTGGACAATGTCGGCCAGTAGCGTCAATAGTATGGAGTGTTAGACATTGCCATTGTTGATACTAAGACCAGAGGCTCACGGGAGCAAATTCGGCTCCTGTTAATTTTACTTGGACGTAGTGTTATGGAAATCAAAGGTGTACCATCTTCAACACGCTGTCAACAAATCAAGTTAAGTGTTCTTTCCGAAACCCATTATCTATCATTAGTGGCCATTAATGTCATTGGGTAGGGTTAGCCGGTTAGAGCACGAGATAGCCTCAAACTAAAGGTAATTAAGCCAGGTCTTCATTGTTCCATGTACAGTATTTTCTCTGATATACCTGTCATATATAGGTATCTGGCTTTATAGCTAGCGCCCTTTTGACAGGTCAAGACGAGGAAGCAAGACTTTGTGCACCAGTTACTGGGTGATGGAAGCTACCTCAAAGAGGATAATTTGGTGTCTACATCCTAGTTATACCTGTTTGGACTAAGGCCTGCTGTACTATAAGATAAGGAACCTTTTCAATGTATGTAGTTAATACTGTAATTTGATTGGCTGCATATATATATAAATAATATAAACCCCCCTAATGTGTAGAGGATCGATTTGTGAGATTGAGATTATTGCAGAAATACAGTCCACTTATCATTATACAAATTGCTATCGAAGTATATAAATTAACGTAAATATAAATTCATATAAATTAAATAAATATAAATCTCACAGGTCGGTTCCCACAGTGGTTATGGGTGGTGGTGAGGCACTATACACTCACCCACTATAGACACTCACCCACTACACACACACACACACACACACACACACACACACACACACACACACACACACACACACACACACACACACACACACACACACACACACACACACACACAAACACAAACACAAACACACACACACACACACACGCACACACACACACACACACACACATACCGGTGTTGGGTGGTGACTGTGATCAGTGGTACAGTAAATTAGTGAACTGCAGCACAACGATACAGTGACTGACTCCAGAGCTTTGTGTAGACAGAGCAAAACTGTCATCATCAATCTACTAGCACTTAGTGAATCACCAAGTGGGAGACAACGACGGATTACCTTCGTCATCCATACATCGTCATTACTCATCTGGTTGTGTGAGCGGGAGGCAGACTGGTATGTACCCCTCACTGGTCAACTAATCAGGTGTACAGATTGAGGTAAAATATTATCAAATTCTTGTTCATGATATCATATATATATTTAAAAATCTCAAAGTGGCTCATTTTAGGTAGAAGTTAACGCTTACGGGACCCCCGTAACACACGCACGCACGCACATGTACGTTTGCAAGCACACATGCACGCACACGCAAAAATAAACACACGCACTCGCACGCACACTTGCTTGATCTAATATTTACCCTAAATGAGTCGGATATAAGGGAAGTTAAGTTGGAAGCCCCCTTGGGAATGAGTGATCATAGTGTATTGAGCTTTGAGTACCTGGTTGAGCTAGGAATTATCACCCCCCAAAAAAGAACTGGGAAACAAAGGGCTGGCGTACCGAAAGGTAAACTATGAGGAGATGAATAAATTCCTATGGGATATACATTGGGACACAGAACTCGGAACCACGTCCGTACAAGACATGATGGACTATGTCACCCAAAAATGTCAGGAGGCTGTAAGCAGGTTTGTCCCAGCACGACAGGAAAAAACAGAGAAGCAAAGGAAGAATTCGTGGTTTAATAGGGAATGTATGAAAGCAAAGGAGCTAACTGAGTGCCCAAATGAGCCACAGAGATATTAGAAAGAACTTTTTTAGTGTTAGAGTGGTTAACAAATGGAATGCATTAGGAAGTAATGTGGTGGAGGCTGACTCCATTCACAGTTTCAATTATTTATTTATTTATTTATTTATTTATATATATACAAGAAGGTACATTGGGTTTGTGAGAATACATTGGATAGTACAGTATTTACATTCTTGTAAAGCCACTAGTACGCGCAGCGTTTCGGGCAGGTCCTTAATCTAGCAGATAATTTTAAGTAGGTAATTTCTATCAGAATTGATAAATGATAAAGATACATTGCAAGAGAAAAATGAGATGAGAGAGCTTAGTAAGTATATTAAAGCACATTGTTATATTAAAGCTCTGATTGATTACATTGACAGCTTGATTAGTAATTTAAACAAGATTAATAGACACCATACAGCAGATTGACAGCACATATAAGACAGCAATGATCACAATGGTAAAGATGTTCAGATTGGGTACATAAAGATTGGGAGACTGGGTAGCAAAAGATACAGATAAACAAGATTTATAAACACCATACAGCAGATTGGCAGCACATATAAGAAGACAGCAATGATCACAATGGTAAAGATGTTCAAATTGGGAACATAAAGGTTGGGAGATTGGGTAGCAATAGATACAGTGCAATTTTAAGGCAAAAAGTGAAAAACTATGAAGATGAAATTAGGTACTTTTTAGTATTGATTTTGAATGATGTAAAAGTTGGACAGCTTTTCAATTCAGTAGGGAGTGAGTTCCATAAACTGGGTCCCTTTATTTGCATAGAGTGTTTACACAGATTAAGTTTAACTCTGGGGATATCAAAGAGATATTTATTTCTGGTGTGGTGATAATGGGTCCTATTACATCTGTCCAGGAAGAGTTTCAGAGCAGGATTTGCATTTAAGAACAGGGTTTTGTAAATGTAGTTGACACAAGAGAATTTATGGAGTGAGATTATGTTTAGCATGTTTAGGGAGTTAAACAAGGGGGCTGTGTGTTGTCTGAAAGCAGAATTTGATATTATTCTGATAGCAGATTTTTGCTGGGTGATGATGGACTTGAGGTGGTTTGCAGTGGTTGAACCCCATGCACAGATACCATAGTTGAGATAGGGATAGATTAGTGCATAATATAGAGAGATGAGAGCAGAGTTAGGTACATAATATCTGATTTTGGAGAGTATACCAACTGTTTTAGAGACTTTCTTAGTTATGTGTTGTATGTGGGTACTGAAGTTGAGTCTCTTGTCTAGGAATAGGCCAAGAAACTTTCCATCATTTTTATTGCTAATGTTTACATTGTCTATCTGAAGCTGAATTGCATTTGTAGATTTGCTTCCAAATAGGATGTAGTAGGTCTTTTCTATGTTAAGTGTTAGTTTGTTGGTTGACATCCATAAGTGGACTTTTTTTAGTTCATTATTAACAACATCATTTAGTGTATGTGGGTTGGGGTTGGAGTAGATGAGGGTAGTATCATCAGCAAACAAAATAGGTTTCAGAATGTTAGAGACATTAGGCAGATCATTGATGTATATAAGAAATAGAAGAGGTCCCAAGATGCTGCCCTGTGGCACTCCAACGGTTATTGGTAGAATGGGAGAGGTTATATTATTGATGGCTACACATTGGTGTCTATCACTAAGATAGGATTGGATATAGTCCAGTGCATGGCCTCGGATTCCATAATGATGGAGTTTACATAAGAGGTAATCGTGATTAACAGTATCAAAGGCCTTTCTCAGGTCAATGAAGAGTCCAATCGGAAACTCATTTTTGTCAAGGGCTGAGTAAATTATATCAAGGAGACTAATAATTGCATCGTTGGTACTCTTTTGAGAGCGGAAGCCAAACTGACAGGGGCTAAGAATGTCGAATTTTACGAGATAGGAGTAGAGCTGTTTGTAGATAATTTTTTCAAATATTTTTGATAGTATGGGTAGGTTCGATATTGGTCTATAGTTGTTTATGTCTGCCGGATTACCTCCTTTATGAACTGGCGTTACTCTTGCTTTTTTAAGGATATCAGGGAAGGTATGACACTCAAGGGATTTGTTGAACAGCAGAGCTATAGGTGGCGCAAGGGCATGGGAGGCGCTCTTGTATACAATGGATGGGATTTCACTGATGTTCCCAGCTTTGGTTTTTAGTGAGTGTATGATGGACACAACATCTGTCGGGCTGACTGGTGAAAGGAGAAGAGAGTTTGGATAGCTGCCTGAGAGATATGTGTTGATATGTGTCTGAGTCTGTGGGATTTTACTTGCAAGGTTAGCACCAATCGATGAAAAGAAGCTATTAAATTCATTCGCCATTTCTAAGTCAGATGACGGTGTAAGGCCATCCTTAGAGAGTGTTATCTGGTTGTGGGAGTGTTGTTTAGTTCCTAGGATATTAGAGATGGTATTCCATGTGCTTTTCATGTTGCCTTTTGCTTCTTTGAATCTAGTCTCATAATATGAAAGTTTTGCTTTTCTTATGATACTGGTAAGCAC